GCATATTTTTCACATGAAATTGCAGATGGTACTTCATGTTTCTTTCCTTTCGCCCAGAGGTCTGGGCACATACATACACGGCAGCATATTCGCAGATCAGCTGCATGTCTCATGATCGTGGTCGAAGAAAATTGATTTATAGCGCAATAGTTAAAGTTCCTACTGGTCGTGACACACGTCACGACCATGGTAAACCATAAGTGCTTCAGACTTCTATGTACGTCAGCAGGGAACCTCGCTTATGTAAAAGCAATATATTACTTAATATATGCTAACTTATTACTCAGGCCAGGGAGAGAGTCGATTTTTATTTCGCTGACCAACAACCGCCTCTAGATTGACTCATGACAGACAAAATATCTGAGTCGACTTACGGATAGCTTGAAAACGACCTCTTCTCTATCCAAGATTGCTTACAGAAATAATTGCCGTTTGCTGCCGACTATTACAAAACTGCGACAGTAGCTTGTACCTCGGCCCATTCTCCTTGTTATGGATACTGCCCGAAAATCAAAGCATATTATGACCAGCAGATGTCATCTCAATCGTCACTAGGATGGAAGTGCGATTCCTGTTCGTATGCGATTGTTTGAAGCCATGGCGCGGGATCGTTGTAGCCTTTCACAGTACTTTCGCTCAGCCGTGGCATTCCTCTGCCTCTGCCTCTGCCTCCACCCTTCGTCTCGGTGCAGCTCGCACCGAAACGTTAATTTATTCGATGCCTATCACGGGGTCGGTCTCGGCATTGCAGCTGACAGTCGCTGCCTCACCGTCGAACTCAACGAGACACGGTGATCGCCGAGTGATCGCCTCGATGGCTGCGCTAGTCATTTCGGCCCAACCCGATTATCGTATCGAATCGACGAGTGCAAAGTTCGCATTTCGACCGACTGAGTCATGAATGGACTATTTTTAGGAGAGCGATTATCGTTCTTTACCGTTTGTTTACTTTACAACGAAACGGCCTATTGCCAGAGGAACTCGTAAAAGCTGCCGCCCGCCTTATTCCGGTTCGAGGTAAGAAATTTGTGAATCCATAGTATTACCGTTGGAGCTATTTTATCTTTAATTTATAAATCGTTGTTCATAAACCGAACTTCATGCTCACGTTGTAAAGAACCCGAAGTAGGCAGTGTTGCAGAATCATATACCAGAAAGAAGTACGTTGTGACATGTTCTCTACAACCTAGCTCGATAGTCGCCACGATAATCGTGGAGGTCTCTCGAGTGTTCCGAAGTTGTTGTAATAACTAGCATCTGACATGTCCATGTTTCGACATATGTCAGGGTAGTTAGATTACAAACCCTGTGAGAAGGGCTGAGTCCCATTCTCTGAGATTATCTCTGAAATGAACATGGTGATTCAATACAGAGTCGACCACCCAGTGGCGCTTTGGTTGATGGAGAACAGTCGAACTGCCACTTGATGAATCAGGGCATGAAATGTTCACTAGAAGTTTCCTGAAATTACAGAAGCAGTTCAGACACGTAATATCGATCAGAGATCGCTTACCTAAACGATTCTGTATTGATCCTTTATCACGGGAATGCTGCAAACAGTCAGATTGCATCGGTTCCATTCTTCTCTATCTCTTCACTCATGAAATTTAAGCGCAAGTAAGTATCCATTACTTGTACTTGCTACAGCTTCAATATAAAGTCCGTTATGTTAACGATGAGGTGTTGATCTCCATTTTAATATCATAAACTGGGGCTGCCTTATTTTAGATGTAAAATCGACAGCAACTCTGTGACAAGCATACTGTTTAGTTATTCATGTTTCTTTCATTGATAGTGGTACTTCATTATCAACTTCAGAGTGACTCAGTCCGGAGCTGAAATTCGCGAATTCTCAGGTCTGAGTCCGATGCTCGATAACTGAGCAACTGAGGCATCAGCATGATCAATTCCCGTCATTTGTCATGCCGAGCATTAAGTGATTCAAAAAGTTCTGAAGAAAATCAAAGGGGCAAGTTTTGTTTTACGTTATTTAAATCTGTTTATTAAGTATTTAAATTATTTTCTCTAACAAAAGCAGTAACTAAATTCAGTCTCAGTTCAGAGGAATAATGACGCCATGCAAGATTAGTTTTCCCTTTCGAAGTCCCCTGCGATTGTTACGCGATTCGTCCATATAGAATGCACAAATAGGCATGGAAATAGGCATCAGTTCGTTTCCTGTTTGAATAACAAGTACTGATATTCCCTTCTCAATTCACGTTTCAATTGAACAATTAATTTTTGCGTTGAACCATGCATCGGGAAGCGAAGGCCATTCAATGTTCAAGCATTTCTGCCCATTGTCGGGTGGTCAATCTTCTACCGTCTTCTGATCTTTGTTTGATTTAGTATCAGTAATGGATGTTGTCTTTTCGGAGGGTGAACAGTATGACAGAACCCCTAAGCTTTTCTGCGAGAGTAATGTCGACGATGTTCCCC